AAAAGTCGTCTGACCAGCTCCCGAGATCTTCTTCAACTTACAGCAGTCACCGTTTATTGATTTGCAAAGGAAAAAACAAATGTAACCTGGCAGAATGGGATTTGCGAAGTACATTGCAGGTATCTCCCAGTCACGCCTTGCAGGACAGATTTGGCGACGCTTTTTGTAGGATTTCACGTGTCATGCAGAAACTCGCTGGATCTGTCTAGTGACTTATTCCGCGTTTGGCTTTGTTGGCTGTGTGTTGAGTTTTGTCTTATATTGACACCCCATTTTCCGTAATCGTCAGAAAATCTTTGCAAATGTCCCTTCTTCAAAAAAAGAATGTGCGGGAGCCGAAAGCGCATTTTTTTGTTTTTTAAGGATTCCATTGGAAGCGGAGAAACCAAAGTGCATCAACCTTTCTTTTTTAATCAAAAAACAACGTTTGCTTTAGAAAGCAGACCAGAGCTTTACAATAGTATACGCATCTTGCAGCAAAACAACCTCTCTTTGAAATCCAAGACCATGAACTTATGAATCTACTCAACATTCTTGAGGAGTTTAGAGCCAGATTATTGCCAGAACTTTTATGCGGTATCTATACTTTAATTCCTTTCACAATTATGCGCTTCGGAGTGTAGGATGCAACTCTGAGCTGACTGGTGACAGAAAAGCAAGGATTTTTACGATCAAACATTTTTGAAATTGAAAATACTAAGCCAGAAGCCAAAAGCCAGAAGCTTGAAAGGAAAAGCGAAGTATCTGTGATGATATCTGCGTTTTAATCAATCAGTGCAAAAAGGTTTTAGCAAATTCCTATAAAAAACAGTTGAATTCAAGCATGGTATATCTAATCGAACAAAACTCCAACACGCTTCTGGAAAGCTTTTGGAGGTTTTACCTTCTATACACAACAGGCAAAAAGAAGAACTAAAGCTTCATCGAAAACCGTTAAGATCTCCCAGACCTTCTAGTGTTGTGGCTCAACCAAAAAATACAAAGTTGCTTGAAACGGCCTGCTATTGCCGATTTAGTATTTCTGCGTTAGACTGATTTGCACTGGTCTTGCTTTAAAACCTTTCTTCTGCTTTCACAACGGTTTGCTTTGAAATTTACTAATAATGCTGACTATTATGCCATTCCTAAAGCTTATATGCAAGTTTAGTAACTGCGGATTGAAAAAGCTTCTATGCAGAGAGATAAACGCATAGCAAATTTTTTATTGGAAGGTAACTTCTATGAAATGACTGGGAATTTTCTTGGATCGCAAATTCAATTCACCAATTCTGTCATCGCAAGGCACTTCATGTTGGGATGTAGCACAAGCCCGGTGTTCCACGCCATAAAGGCTGCCACGCTCACGCCCGATACAGGGATAAGTGAGCTAGCCGATCCCGATTACAGTTCAAGCTTGCACGACAAACTCATAATAACGGATGGCTTTTCCTAAATCCCCCAAAACAGCTATGTGTGGTAACCTAATTTCACGCGTACAAGGCGCGGGAGATTTTTTTTCGAAAATCGACCAGCCCAAACACGGCAAAGGACTTCGCGAACAAAGAACTATAAACAGCGCTGTATATTGCCTGAGAGTATCGTGCGGCATAAGTCTCGTTTTCCAAAACACAACGAGGCGGCTGAGCGGCACGTTTGAAAAGTCGAAAAAGGTGCGCCCTGTACGCGTGAAATTAGGATTACAATATCCGCATAAAATGGCACCGGAAGGAAAGTTCCAAAAGTATCTCAGTACATGACAGTTCAACTGTGCCAACGCAGCACATCCGAGATCTGTGAAATGAGCTAGTCTTTGCAATATTTTCTAGACTGTCGTGCATGTATGTGCTGGTGAACAAGAACATCTTGAGTTCAAGTTGTTGGCTTCGCGGAAAATGAAGAAAATGGCTGCACCTTTCGCGCGATAGAACCATGTGTGCTATGAGCTACAACTACAAGATGAAATCATGGTGGTACACATTTTAAATGATAACATCAAGAAACAGTTATTGCAGAACCAGTGCGTCACCTTTGCTTCGCAGAGGCTCGCACTGTTTCTACTATCTAAATGCCCTACTCTTCTCGCATAATGATGGAATTGAAACTCACCGCGCAATGCCGATTATCACGAATAAAATGTAAATAGCTACTCATTTCCAAGCTTCTTCATGTGAAATTGGTGATTTTGCGTGGATGAAACTTGATACGAAGAACAAACGCAAATTTGAATAGGTTCTTGAATTTGCCGTAGTTTTGGTAGTCTCTATAGGAACAGTAGTCACAGTGAGCTACATCTTTTGCAAAATCTTGTTAAATGCTCAAGTAAAACCTTGCCAAATTGATCATTTACGCGGCCCATTCTTTTTGGCACTTGTAAAGTAGGAGACTTTTGGTCACTTTGGACCTAAGTCCATAGCTTGCACATTTACTTGCCAAACACATCCACAACTCTGCAAAAAGTGGAAATACGGACTCAGTTTTGCGGACTAGAAGCTCAGTGGATCCTTTTGACGCGCAGTTTCTGAAGGATCCACTCAGCGCGAATCTACTCGTGCTTTTGCATGTTAGACTTTCATGCTGGTGGCATGCGCTGTGCCAAATTTGAGACAGGAGGTTGCTGCAACACTCTCTACGAAATCGTAACACACACACAACACACACACGGCTAAATAAATGACACCACCGTACAACCTGAGTCCGGCATACTAACACAGCAACAATTACTGCACCATGCCCAGATTCAGAGAAGAAAGAGCTTGGAACTTATTTGTCTTTATCAATTTTTTCGTTGCAAATTTCAAGCTAAGAGGCTAAGGGCTAGCACAGGGTAAGTGGGTATGCTGATGACGATTACGGTATAGCTGTCTTCACCTCGCTAGTCGTTTAGTGGGCAAAATCGAAGTTGAAAGGATTAGGGCGTTTGCGACAGAGCGCGGCACCTGAGCCGGTAGTAATTCCCCCGACCTAACGGCAGGTCTCGTCGGCAGGTCGTTGGCATTTTTCCGTGAGGTGGCCAGAAATTAAAGTCCTAAATTCAGGCCGTCCAGGCCTTTTCCAGAAAATTTTCTCGACGAAGGTGCCACCTCGACCGAATAGAAACCTCCATCGAAATCTGCGGCTCCCAGAAATCCTCCTCTAGGAAAATATCTGGAAGCGCAGGAGGAGCTGCCGACAAATTCGCGAGGTAATTTGCCGGCAAACTGCCGGCAGCTCGTCGAAATCCCCGAGGTGGCAGCTACCGGCAGGTCAGAGAGCACGGGAAATAGCGTGCTGAGAGGAAGCTGCCGGCATATCGACGTGCCCCTATCACGTCGAGGTGCTGGCACCTTTGCCGATCTGTGAGTTTGCGAATTGCGGCAATATCACACAATTTACGTCAGGCGAAAAAATCAAAAATTCTACTTTCCATCAAAAAACTATCATTTTTCTCATTGTATGGGTTTTTCTTTTTCAAACCGCTGATCTTACAAAGAAAAAATCTAGTAATGCCTTTGAACCATAAAGAACACCATCTTTTTTGGCAATCTCTTCTAAATCTCGTTTGCACCGATTGCGTCCCTCCCTCGCTCATATCAATCGGCTGTTCTTTCAGGTCAAAGTCTCTCAAGCAAAGTATCGATCCCTCTTTTGGGCAACCACTTACCGGTGCTTTCCTCGTATTGCTGGTGCAAACGGCAATGACTGACCGTGGTGGCACTTGAAAACGCACTTAGGTTCGACCGCGCACGAGGTAGCAGTTTTGCGGCTGTCTGCGTCATTAAAATTTACTGTGCGAAATGATTGTGTATTAACGATAAGGTTATATAAGATTATTGAAACCTACAATCACTCCGCGAGCCGCCGCTGAAGAGGCAACTTCCCGGCGACGTGTGCCTACTTGCCGGCATCTTTGATGCCGCCAGGCAGGGAAGATAAGCTTTGCAGCTTAAAAGAAAGCTTTATATTTCGAAACCCCAGATACCTGGATTTCACGTTGTGTACCTATCCGTAATACTACCCTTCACAATGAACATGTTGAAGAGGAGCGAGAAGTTGTACGAACCGCATTTTCCAGCTTTTGTATGATCCCTGATAATCCCCGGCGCTTTTCTTTGAAGTCATTTTTCTTTCTCCGAAGATAACGAAAACCTTCCAAAGTTGTACTGAACATCTAACACAACAGTGCTAAGCATGTTGCTGATGAGAACAAATGAGTTTTTAAAAATTCGAATATTTCGGTAAACCTCAAATTTCGAGCTGTGAATCATAGAAAATTTCATGAGTTCAAAACATCATTTGTTCTTATCAGCAACATGCTTAGACTGTTGAATTAGATAATCTGCACAATTTTGGAGGTTATTCGTTGACTTCGGAGAAAGAAAAATGACTTTAAAGAAAAGCGCCAGGGATCACCAGGGATCATGCAAAAGCTGGAAAATGCGGTTCGTACAGCTTCTCGCTCCTCTTCAATATGTTCATAGTGAAGGGTAGGTAGGAATTACGGATAGGCACACAACGTGAAATCCAGGTATCTGGAGTTTCGAAATATAAAGCTTTTTTTAAGCTGCGATCCCCTCCCGCGGAGATGTTAGTGCATGCGGCTCTAAGATTACCGGCTCTGATCCCTCAGTTCAAATTTACGCATGCTTCTTATTCGTTTTTTTTCAAACGTTGCTTGCTAAATCTGTTATGAAAATGCCAATCCAAATTGGCGTTCTGTTATTGTTGAGGGTTGTCACGCAGTGGGTCCTAAATGTGACAAGCGAAGCCGATTTCCCTATGTATGTAGTACTTCATAATACAAACTTGGATGCATTTTCGAAAGCGTCAATCGCCTTTCGCCACGCTCAACATCTTTTCGTAGTCGTCACGAATATTTTCTTCCAAGATCACGTTCATGCGAAGCTTGATTGGCCATAGAAGGAAGGCAACCGGATTGTTGGCCAAGCAGAGTAGAAGATTAATAACTGCTACTATGCCACATTCTTCACCTGCACAGTGCTAGTATTGACAACACAAAACTCAAGTCTTATTTTCTGTTTCAGAAAGGCTGCGGTGTCTCTTCTCAGTTTGTACTGCAAAATTGAAACAGGATGTTCTTCGATGTTTCGTATGCTTTTCGAAAGTGGGGTCCTTCGTGGGTGCAGTGGCTTTGAAAAAGCAAGTCAATGTGTACAGTGAGTCAGTTTTGACTTTATCAAAGTAGACTGGGCGAGCGGGAATTTGTAGACAACTTTGAGAAAAAAAAGCATAACTTCGCAAGCAGATTAGAAGCGTGTTTCTATTTTGCACTTGGCTTATTACAAATTTTCTTCGCGTACGTTGATATGACAAGCATGTGCAACGCTTTATGACTTCAACCACTAATCTAACTGGCATCTTTACTATTTTACTATCGCTTTCCATTCACTGCACTAGCAGTCTAAAAGTCATTATTATAGTCATGCATTATTGCTGCAAAAGCAAAATATATCGGTAATTAATATGATATTTCAGCATTTTAATAGAGACTCATCTCATGAAGTGACTCATATTTTGTCAAATATAAAACAAGGGTTTGCTCAAGCATTTGAGCCGAGCTGAGACGGGTGTGCCAGCTAGTCCTAGCCTATGCTTGACAGTGTGCCAGCTAGTCCTAGCCCATGCTTCACACATCACATTCAAATGTACACTTTTCGTATTTTTCCATGGCTAGGGTTAAAGAAAATGAATGAAGTACAACTACAAACTCCACCCTTAGACGTCCTGAGCTCCTCTCTCGTAATTATATAGCGCATACATACAAAAGTACGACCACGTATTTGTACTTTTATAGATGCTCCAGTTTCCGAAAATGCTGAAACTCAGGGCAGAAACGGAAAAGAAAATCATGAGACACCTTAGTTACGTTTGTTGGATGGCGCGGATCACCGATCTACCAATCATTACTGGCGGGAAAAGAGAGGCCGATTGAACCTCTCAGCAAGCTATAAATACCGGTGGATAAAGGGGAGCAGTCAGAGCGAAGAGAGCACTCCAGGGAGTTCAAATAGCCGTCGAAGAGAGGCGAACCTCCCCTCTTAGATAAAAGAAGCTAGAGAACCCTGCTGAGAGGGCGAATCGGGTTGAAGCTCCGTTGTTGTATATAGCGTTCTGTTCTTGTTGCTGTTAGTTTTGTGCCATAAGGATAAATTATTTACTTAAATCCGTGTTTCTCCATCGATCAGGTTCTACCGGGACTTACCATTAGACCACCCTCCGTTACATGGGGGCCGAGCCGTCGCCTTGATCGATTGCAGACGCGTGGTACGAGTCGGATATCCAGGCACAGCAACAAAGAACGTTTAAAGCAGGCAGATAAGGTCTAAGGGAGGAGTGATTGATCGATCACATCATTCAGCTTATAGAGGCGTGGGTATCGATTGGATTGACTTTCTTCGATCAGCTGAGAGGCGCGATTTGGCGCGCGGCGTTGACTACCGATGAATTTAGAGGCAAGGCGAAGCATTTCGCTGCCGGGTACATTAATGTTCAAGGATATGGATCATAGAGAAGAAGTGACAGCACATCCATGAGAGAAAAATACACCCAATGATGGAGAAGATAAGCCTAATCAAACACGAGGTGAAAATGATACCTGAGATTGTGGGCAAGCACATGAACCGAAGTAGGATACCGGTTGATAGATTGCCACTTGAAGAAGAGGTGAAGGCTACGGTAGCCACAGTGCTAGGTAGGCTGGAGAGCCTGACAGTCGAGCTAAAGCAGATATTCGGTCGGAGAGCAATGGCAGATGCAAAAGGGAAACAAAATCGGTTGAGTTGCTGCAGGACAAGAGATACGGGAAGAAAGAACCTAAGAGGCCATTGCGTACAAGTCCTGTGAGTACCGAAATAAAGAAGAGAGGGCAGCATTGCCCATGCGTCACATCAAAACAGCCAAGTTCTTGGCAGTCGAGCAATTTGATGAAAGGGTCGAATGACCGAACACACGTGAATTATAGAGGTGTGGAAGATAAGTTGCTCAGCTATTTTCAGAGCATGACTTTTGCTGATCCTGGGATCTCTAGGGGCTGTGATGATGAGGACTTTGACAGGTTCATTCGAAAGTTCAAAAGGAAGTATGGTACCATTGTCCAAGGTGAACAGTTGCTGATAGAGGTCCTAGGTGACGAGCACCTGCAAGGACAGGCAAAGTCCAAATTTTTGAGCATACCCATGGGGGTAAGGCAGCAAGGCTTCGACAGATTAGTGAGGGAAATGTCCTCACTACTGACCTGTGATTTCACAGCGGCTAAGTTGAAGGCGTTGACAGCCTTGAGAAACATGCGCTTGAAGCCAGACCAAGAAGTCGCGGACTCCTGTGTCGCCCTCGAGAACCTAGCGAGGAAGGCCAATCTTCAATGTACTATTGAGGCTAGATCGACGGAATACGCACAGGTTCTGCTAGAGAATCTGACAGCATGGCCGGAATACGTGCAGCTGGTGGGAACTCTACACCAAGTGGACCCAGCTGAGGCATATAACAAGATAAAAGAAGTCGCGATTGAAATCAAACAATCGCGGAGGCTCTGCAACTTTGAGAGGAAAAGTGAACAGCAAGCTCCGTCCTGGAGGAAAGCAAATGAAAACGAAAGGTATGTGCCAGCTCTGGCGCAAAGTCGAAGCAGCTTAGCGGAGAGAGACGAAATGGAAGATGGTATGAGGAGGCAGGAGTCAACGAGAAGCTCGGATGCCAGCTATGATGAGGATATGGAAGATAAAAGATGCTTCAAATGTGGTCACTTCGGACATCTGATAAGAGATTGCAAGTACAGAAAGACGGAGATTGAAAGCGCTACCAAGGCTTCGACTGGGGTAACATCCATGATAAGTAGGAGCCGTAATATGGTCGTAAAAACATCTGTTGGGGCAAACGGAATTGTTGGTAAAAGAACGTTGACTCGAGCGAGAATGTTGGGAAGATAGGTGTCAGCATTTATTGACACGGGTTCAATGATAAGTATACTACCCGAGAAAGTGCTTGTAGAAGCGAGGAATAGTGGCGATGTCGAGTTACTTCAGACTTTCGATATTTTCGAAGGACTTTCGAAGGAAGCATACACGATGCATTCAAACATGTTATGAGCTTTCTCGGAGGTGTAAAAGTAGAAGTAGAGCTAGAAGGAGGATGCAAGAAGGAAGTGGATTTTCATGTTTCCGACGATAGGAATGAGGAAGTACTCATTGGCACAAATGCGTTGACGAGTTTAGGGGTGGAAGTAGTGATAGACAAGAAGCCTGAAGTCAAAGTAAAAGCAAAGGATATAATGGTGCCTTTACACAAGAGAAACACCGCCTCAGTAAGAGAGAAGATCCAACAAGGTACCATAACTGTGAACAGATCTATCTCAGAGAAGGGCAGATCTCTAACTGTCAACAAGAAAACTTTCATTGAGAGAAAAAGAGATGTCAAAGCAGACAAAGAAATCTGGCCAGGAGAAGCTTGTGAGCGCAAGTGGAAGAAGTCGACATGTATGACTGGCAGCAAAAAGCACACTTCTTCGAGAAGTAATCGGAAAATGTGCGGAGAGGCACAGAAAGGAGTCAGAGTTGAAAAGACACGCAGTGAGGAAGGACAAGGTTCTGAGAAGGAACGTCCTGTTGCATTTATTGCACCGAGATGTGCAGCATCAGTTGAGCTGAAACAATGTGGAGTACTGACTAAGGTGGCAGCACCATTCAGTCAACTCAAGGAAGCGGTGAAATACTTGAAGAAATGTCGTGTGTGGACCATAGTATGGCCCATGAACCCAACAAGGGAGGATGAGGCTATCATAGAGACATTGCGGATATGCAAGAAGTACTTCGAAAAAGGAGGAAAGATTGTATCCGTGTGGCCGCCACCATGGTTCAAGAAGATTGGTATGTGGAAAATGAAATTGAAAGTGTGGTTGGTGATTGAATCAGTACTGAAGAAATGGGCAGGATCAAATCAGTTGTTCACGTTGGCTCCCTCAAGAACAGAAAATGGGAACGTGATCTTAGAAACTAATTCACCTCAAAATTCTTTTCAGGTATACGACACGCATTTCAGGGATGGATATGCGCAATATCTTCACAACGTCATTCGCAAGAGAGTTCCCTGCGCAGAGATCAGCAAGTTGCAGCAGCCGCTCAGGACGTCGGCTCCCCAAAGGAGAGGGAAGTTGGATGATGCGGATCTCCGATCTACCAATCATTACTGGCGGGAAAAGAGAGGCCGATTCGTCCTCTCAGCAGGCTATAAATACCGGTGGATAGGGCGGAGCAGTCAGAGCGAAGAGAGCGCTCCAGGGAGTTTAAAGCCGTCGAAGAGAGGCGGACTTCCCCCCTTAGATAGAAGAAGCTAAAGAACCCTGCTGAGAGGGCGAAACGGGTTGAAGCTCGGTTGTTTTATATAGCGTTCTGTTCTTGTTGTTATTAGTTTTGTGCCATAAGGATAAATTCTTGTACTCAAATCCGTGTTTCTCCGTCGATCAGGTTCTACCGGCACTTACCACTAGACCACCCCCCTTTATACTTTAAGATTATTCTAAGAACTTTCCAAACAGTTTGCGCTTACAAAGAGCAGATGTTGCTTGAAGAATAACAAAAAGCGGGAATTTTTGTCATTTTGTTGACCAGCCGCCCTAAATTAGTGTGGCTGGTTTCACATGCCAGTTTTGTACATATTCCAGAACTTGTTTCAAAAAATTTGCCAGGACACCGTAAGGGCGGGAGTTTTCAAAACGATCAGAAGTATAATAAAGCCATATAAACCGCTTTGCAAATTTGTACAGAGTATTTTTTGGAGAACCGAACTATAGAACGTGAGGCAGTTGATTTGCAAGGAAGCCGTTATGCTGAAAGCTTTTATCGTAATCCTGCAGGAGCGAAAATCTGCTCTCTGATTCTGTTGTATCTTTAAGTTAAAGCCAGCACTAGAATATGGTGCTTGAAGGCAGTGTCCAAGCAAAAAGCCGATTTTGAGATTTTGTGCTTACCCGGGCCTTCGCCACGCTGAATCCGATAAACCACAATGGCGAGCGCGAAAGCGTCAGAAAAGGCCCTAACGCAGGAGGGAAATCGGGGGTGGGCGGGGCCGTTCACACCGCACGTCATTCTCCCAGGCTTTAGCAGCGATCTTGTCGGTTCCGATTTTATGTCATGCGTTTCGCAGCTGGGTGGTGCTTATGTTAGTGCGGTTATCGGAAGCGAGAAGATCGCTCTTGTAGCTGGGAAAGTGACGCTACTATTTGAACAGCCCTGCTCACCTGCAATTTTTCTCCTCCCTTAGAGCCTTTTTTCGCCGTTTTTGCGCTCTCCAGTGGTGATTTTTGGATTTAGCATAGCGAATAGGCCCAGGTAAGCACATCCTCGAAATCGACTTTTTGCTTGGACACTGCCTTTAAATAACCAGTACAGCTTTCCACACAAAAAGTCCAAGATAGAATTAGAACTGGAGCTTATTTTTGGCACTCCGTATCTTTTCTAATCAAAGATAAGTAAACATTTCTCAACTTTTCACTTTTGCATGCATACTAATTTTAAACATATAGATTTTCTCCAATATTACATGGTATTATCCTCAATAACTTTTTCAGCATCTACGACAGTTTCAAAGGAATCGCATACTGCCAAGGAGTCAAAGAACTAGGAGTTGCAGCATTTAGAAAAGTGAGCAACAAAAGCAAAACACATGTTTTTGAACTGTTTTACTGCTCTTATTGTTAGACACAATGAGATTTGCTACTAAAGCTAAAGCAGAAAGGTAATCATATTGATGCCCACCGATTTAGCGCTTTCATGGAGAATGTAACTCGGATAGTAACGTCGCGAGTGGCGGCGTTCACGGCTTTCCGGGTGGGGCGGCTTGATAACACCGTCTACTTAAATTCTCAACTTACACGTTTATGTCGCTTTCAGGCCTTGAAGGCCCTAATTCCGAATATAAGTCGAGAATCCGCAAAACCCTCAAAAATCCCCGTTTTGCAACAGCACCCATACCCGTTGCCACAAGCGCAAGAGAGGGAAAGACTGCAAAGTGGGCGAGGCGACCAGCTGCGTGAAGTGAGCAGTTCCAGATTTGCTCCTTCGGCTCGGATTATTTTGCTCCGGAAACAATCGTTTGCGGCGTAACTTAGGGGTTTGCCTGGTGTGGGGTCCCACACTAGTAAGCCATCATAATCTTGTCAAACCCCACCTGAAGTGGACGGGGCCTCTGATTTGTGGGTGCGGCATAAATGTGAGCAATCGGAGACTTGATTTAATCGCGGCAGACCGTTTAATCGAGCGATCGTTAGACGTAACTTCATCATCATTATCCTCATCTTGCATTGTAGATTCTCTCGCTATTGGATTAATTTATCTTGTCAATTTTATATCATGGCTTGATCCGTTAAGAGCTGCTGCTCTGTTATAGATCAGACTTGCCAGACTCACGTTACACCTCGTAAGATACATGCATGTATCCAGATTCAGCTTATTGTAACTGTGTGAACGGGAAGTAATTTTAAATACAAAGAAGTGAGACGCAACTTTATTATACTTCTTCTTGTCGCATTCGAGGTGTAAACAAAAACATGTTCAATGACAAAGACAAACTTTACGAAATTCCACTGAGACTAGAATAAAGTGAAGATAAAGTTGAGATTGGTAAAATTTGAAGCGCATTTACGTTTTGATAAATGCTGAGCGCTTTGGATATTTTCTCGATATACTTACTCAGAGAGTCGACGGCATACCTGCGAAGCAGAAATGGCCGAGCCGCGGGGTTTCCCCAGTTGGGGATTGCCACTCGTGCTCCGGAGCCCTCCCATTTGTGCTCCGGAGATCTCCCATTTGTGCTCCGGAGCCCTGCCATTTTTTGCTCCGGAGCCCTCCCATTTTGTGCTGCGGAAGGCTGCCGCGGCATACTGTAACTAGCCCTAATTAAGCTCCAAACCCCAATTTTGTTTCTAAACCCCACCCAAATCAGCCGAGTACGACCCCCCCCCCTCCCGGGTAGAACTTCAGCGCGACCCTCAACCCCGTTCTTTACCCCCTCCCTCTCACCCCTAGCGTTTGTGGATAGAAGATAGAAGAAAGAATGAAGAGACAAGACATTTATTTCAAATTAACTGCAAACAATCTCCTGCAAATTGCAAAACAAAACGTAGCAGCTACAAAATGGACAACAAAGACAACAGTTGCCGGCAACCTATGGCCGTACCCTAAGCGAAAACATAAGCGAAGTAAGTGTAGTGAGAGATTGCTTGGAAAACACAGCGCAAAACCTTTTGTCACAAAACCTTTGAGTGCTGATATCTGCATTGCAGCGCAAAACAATGAGGAAACTCGCACAGAATAGGTCTTCTCGGTTGAGAAATGAGGTACACGATGTACTATGTGACAGAAGAGAGCTGGTGAAAGAACTTACAATACTGACTGCACCGATTTTCGTTGCAAGTCTCCGATTTTTTATGACCCTACACAGAAAATTCAAATTTTGACCATTTTTCTTCTATCGCTCCTATCTATGCAACAGATGATCATTACTAAGCACTGAAATGCCATTATAAAGAGCATGGCTTATCCTTTCACATTAAAGTAAAAGCAGTGAAATCGGTTGGAAAAATCAGAAGTTATGAATTTTTGAAAACCGTGCGCAAAAACTTTTGGGACGACCTAATAAGAGCGAGGTGGAGCAAGTTAATAGTAAAAATGTGCTATGGATTGACATCGTTATCAGCACTAACGGGAAGTGAGCTAACGCATCTATTTGAGCGTGCTTATCGTTGTTGTATGCTTATGTTTTTTTTTGGTAAAAAATGCGCTTTTCATTGACAGTTATGCCATCATTATTAGCACACACTCAAAAACTATGGGAGATTGGTGAATTTCCACACCTTCACACAAAATCCGCCCATTTCTGGAATCTATACTATGTAAACCTAGTGCTGAAGAAGGTCACTTTCGTAAAACCATCTAGACTCATCTTACCTAATTTGTAGAGAATGGTTGGTTTCAATGAATCAAAAACTTTGAGACATTCAGAAGAATAACATGTTATTGAAATATCCCTCAATGTTTTGGAAAGGTTGGCAGTTTGAAGAGGAAACGGCAGGCAGAATACTTTACAAAATCGCAGATGACTCGCATGTGTTTCATTTCAACAGCGAGGCAGAAGGAGAATCTTACGCCGACGAAAATGTTGTCGACATTGGTACAGAGTTGACAATTGAGTGAAACTCTCTAATTTCCTACATAAGGAATCCAAGCAGATTGGCTAGTTTCAATGAGGAAATGTCCAGGAAGTCCATTGCTGATCTTCAGGTTGCTGAAGATTTCGAAGCTGCTAAAATCACAAACATGGATATGAATAAAAGGAAGGTGTTAGTACAAAGCAAGCTACTGCTCTTAGATCCCGATGCAGTGCGAATCCAACTCTGTGCTTTATGTTGTCAGTATTGTTTTGCCAACTCGAGGTTTTGGTGAAGCTCTTTATTACATCAGTGGCCTAACGTTTCGACTACTCGTCGTCTTCAGAGGCCTAAGGCCCCGGTCAGACTTCACGCGACTTAATCGTCGCGACCAAATCGCCAAGATTTCCATTCATTTTCATTTCACATTCAAAAATTTCGGTCTGGAAAAGTATCACAACCGAATGCAAGTTGATCTGCATGGAATGATGTTGTAACAGTTGTCTAATCGCGATTCAGTCGCGACGATCAAATCGCGTGAAGTCTGCCCGGGGCCTAAAGCGGTGCGGGATTAGCGATATTATGTCTGCTCCACCAAGTGCTTCATCGACCCTTGGATAGTTTCTCGATCCCCTCTCGAGTTTTACAAGCAAAATTCGCAAGATGGGAAAGACGAACGCACCATTGCTCTACCGCCGATGCACTTGATGGTATGTGCGACCGCTTCCTTGGTGACAGTAGTGCCAATAAGCCACATTGAGCAGCTCATTGTAGATGTAATCATCCCACTACCCTATCATAGCTCACAGAGTGATAAAATAGGCATGAGGTCATTCGTAACGGCTAAGCACTCGTTTCTGTTGTTCATATGCGGTTTTCTGCGCGTGATCCAAAATGCTTCGAGAGCTTTTCGAGCAGAATATCTTCTTCATAAGCGAATATTGTACACTTGATTTCGTAGTCTTCGCCGCAATGGTACTCATGTCTATGTTTCCCGAGAGGCGAGACTAGATTACCTTTTCGTTTATTGGCGAGATGTTCTCTAACTCTCACGCCAAGTGCTCTTCCGGTTTCTCCTATATAGCTAACTCCACAAACTAAACATTCTATCTGATATGTTACTCCCGTCTTCGCGCAGTCACCAATGCTGCTATATGGACAAATAACGCACTCTTTCGAGATACAATGTTTGTCATAGAGCCTGTTTCGTACAAGCCGTTTCTTTAAATTATCGCTCGGAACACTTACTAAAATGATATCGTCGAGCTGCGCTCGTTTAATACTCTGCCGTATTGCAACACAGATTTCATCCGAGACAAAAGGAAGACAGAGCGCTATTTTGTTGTTATATTGAGCGGCATTATGTGAGGAATATGGTCTACCACGAACATGATGCATCAGATAGCCATTGTTCCTCGCGATGCTCAGTGCAACATTTCGCGACTCCTTCTGCTCTTGTTCTCCCGTACACACTTGTGTTGCTGTTTTAAACATATTTCGGATAACGGCATTCTTGACGGCTGATGGATGTGCCGAACGAGCATGTAATAAGATGTTTTTGGAGCTATTTTTACGATCCCATTTGCATCTGTGCTGTGTATCTGTGCTTCATGCTTTTGGAAGTTATTCGCCTTGTGACATTATGACCTACGATAGTGAAAAAAAAACCAATGCGCAGCATAGTATCTACTTTTTCCGGCTATTCCGCAGATGCTGTTAAAGAAGAAGTTGAGCAGCTTTCTCATCAGTCAACAGGACGTATGCCAGAGAAGGTAAAGCCAGAGTTCGGCAAGGCCCAAAAAAGTATGCAATATTTCCTTCCCGTATTGCGAAAGCATATGCGATCTCGCTCTTTCCCCATTACTTACCGCAAAAATCTGATGGACTTACTAGCAAAGCTAGTTTCCATTCCAACTAGCACGGCAGAGGTGGAGAAAAAATTTTTTAATCTACTCTGTTATCAGAACAAAACGCAGAAGTCGTACAACGATGGAGCATCTAAGCAATTACTTAAGGTTTGTCAACCTTCTACTGAACATATTGTTATCTAAAAACTTCATTTAAAGGATTATACTCAGATAATCGCCGGGGGCAGGCGGCCATGCGATTTATGGGCGGGCGGGCACCGGTAAAATAGTTTGTTGATTTCTTGTGGTCCGCTTGCAGATATTTGGAAGTTTTAGCGAAATTTTAGACGAATGCTTGGAGAACAATCGCGGTTTCTCTATGTATTAGCTGCGGCGCAGTGGCCGCATTATCGCGGACTTTCCGCGAGAATATGCAAAATTTCGAGGGCGCACGGTCCTTTGTGGAGGACCGCGCAACCCCCAGGTGCTTTCCGCTGAGAGAAAGTACCTCAAACATGAGTAATTAAACCAGCGTGACACCTCTGCCACACAAAGTCTTACCTGTGCTCGACGTACGCCCGAAAATGCCTAAAAAGAGTCCGAGCGCATGCTGAATGTTTGGCCAGCGCTCGCTGAAAGAAATTACTTG